TACAAGCATTGGAGGCCCAACCATATAAAACTTATGGCAAACCATACAAAACCAAATTTGAACAATCATTCGGCACATCACATGTGACAATAAGATGTGAAGTTAATATTATCCTCTTTCTTGCCGTGGAAAAAATATATATATATATAATAAAGTTACTGGCTTTTCTTAAGTTAGTAAAAATTTATATATAGACAAATTTTATATATTAGGTTAATTAATGAATAAACTTTTAGATTCGTTTTTTTATTAAATCATGCATATTTAAATTAGTAACAGACAAGAAACAAAACAAAATAGTTACCTAATAGTATTATCTTATCTGTGCACTTACCCTTTTTACCCGCACACAAAAAAATAAAATAATAAAATAAAATGTTGAGGAGAAAGTAATGCCAAAACATAGTCGCTTTTATTATAATCATATCACAAATTAATTATCTTTCAGGCGCATGCATTTTTAGAGATAAGATTCTAAACTTTAAAAAAAAAAATTAATTTTTGTCTTATATATATATTAACCAAACACGATTTTTCACTTGTTTTTTAATAAAATATTTAACAAACATTTATTTAAAGAATTAAAATGGATTGGATAATTCAAACTGAACATTAATATCTAGACAAGTTTCCTATATTAGGCTAATGAAATTTTTTAGACAGGAGGATTCGTCTAATTGAATTAATTAGTTAGATGATATTTTTTTATTTATTTAATTCTTGTATTTACGTCTGTCCTTATGTTCAATGGCAATTCGAGCTTCACACATGTTTTGTCAGAGGCTTGTCGTGCATGTACGATGGTCTGGCCAATTATTTTTTAACTCTTGTCTTCTTGTACAATTCCTGCTTTTATTTATATAGACCCGGTACAAGAGATAAAAAATACATATAATAATAAAATAAATGTTACTTAATTATTATTAATATTAATATATTAAATATTAAAAAGTTACTTTTATATTTTTTTCTTAAAGCCTAAAATTATATTGAGCCCTCTCAATTACAACAGGGTCATATAATATTTATATGTAATAAGTATTTAAATTCGTAATAGGATCGAGAACCTAAAATGAGTACACTAGCCTAACAGAAAAGAATCCACTCCTTTACGTGGTGTAACCATCGTCGTGGCTTCGCCAATATTAAAGAACGCTTGGATCGCGCTTTAAGCAGTAAGGATTGGAGACAGATGTTTCCCCAGGCTCGACTTCGTCATCTTACAATGGCGGGGTCTAATCATTGTGCTATGCTACTTAATCTTTTGCCAGCTTTTCATAAGAAATCTTGTCAATTTCATTTCGATGCCCGATGGCTGTCTGACCCTATGTGAGATGATATTGTTCGGAATGCTTGGTGTGTTCCAATTTCTGGGTCTCTTTTGTTCCGGTGGTCTGAAAAACTCAAGTCTTGTAAAAGATCGTTGATCCAATGGGCTAGGAATAAAGCATTTAATTAAATTTGATTGCAACAATTGAAAGAGAACCCGGATGGCTACGATCTTGAGCAAGTCCGTACAGTGGAGTGCTAGTTACAATCTTCTTGGCGACAGGAGGAATTGTATTGGTTTCAGAAGTCCCAGACTCAATGGTTGCAGTTGGGGGATCGATCTAAATTCTAAATTCTTCCACACCTCTACTATTCGTCGGCAAAGGCAAAATCATATCTCTGGGATAGAGGATTCCTCTGGTAGTTGGATTGAAGAGGATTCCCAGATTCAGGATCTCTTTCTCACCTATTTTCAAGACTTGTTTCGTACAACTGATCGGGTTGGTATTGATCAATTCCTACAGCACATTCAGCCATGAGTTACTCCTGACATGAATATTCACTTACTTCGACAGCCATCTAAGGAGGAAATATGTTGTGCTATTTTTTATATGCAGCCATGCAAAGCTCCGGGTCCTGATGACTCTATTATTTTATCAGCGATATTGGCATCTTATTAAGCCAGAGATCATTGCTAAGGTGACAATATCATTATGTTCTGTGGCTTATCGGATCATTGCTAAGGTGATTACTAATAGGCTTAGAGAACTTATTCCCTCTATTATTAGTGAATCTCAGAGTGCATTCGTTCCAGGACGCCAAATTACGGATAATATCCTAATTTCTCATGAGATTCTCCATTACCTTAAAAATAAACGTAAAGGTAAAAAAGCATTTCTTGCCTTGAAATTGGATATGAGTAAAGCCTATGATTGTATAGAATAGCCTTTTTTGTTGGCCATCCTTGAGAAATTGAGTTTTCATGCTCATTGGATTAAATTAATTCATGCCTATATCTCCACGGTTTCGTATTCTGTGATGATTAATGGTAGACTTGTGGGGCTGTTTTGTCCCACACGAGGCCTCAGACAAGGGGATCCTTTATCCCCCTATTTATTTATTTTGTGTGCAGAAGCTCTTTCTCATTCTTTGCAAGTGGCCTTTCAGCATCGAGTTTTATCTGGGATTCATGTGTGCCCCCAAGTTCCATCTATTTCTCTCTTGTTTTTTGCGAACGATTCCATCATGTTCTATCAAGCCTCTACTACATAAATTGTTTTCTTAAGAACCTATTGCAGAGGTATGAAAGGGCATTTGGGTAGCAGATAAATTTTTCTAAATCCTCTATATTCTTCTAACGTAATACTTGTTTAGAGGATTGTGTTGCTTTGTGTTAGTTACTGGTCATTCAGGAGGAAGGTCTACGTGCCAAATATTTAGGTATGCCTGTGATTATTGGACGGTCCAAGTTTTCAATATATCTCCTATCATGTTGCCACTCAATTAGCGTCGATCTTGGAAATCTCTGATCTTATCTCCAGCAGGTAAAGAAATTTTAATTAAATCAGTTTTGAGTGCTTTACCCACCTATGTTATGTCATGCTTTAAGCTACCTCGTAAGCTTTGAAATTCAATTCTGAAGTATGTTCGCAGTTTTTGGTGGGGTAAAGAGGGTGATTTTGCCAATATCAATTGCATTAAATGGGAACTTTTATGTGATGCTAAAGAGAAAGGGGGGTTAGGATTTCGTAACTTTGAGGCTTATAATGATGCTTTGTTAGCTAAACAGGGTTTGAATTTTCTAGTCCACCAAAATGGAATGGCTTTTAAGCTCTTTTAAGCCAAATATTTTCAGAATTGTTCCTTTTTAGAGGTGCAGTTGGGATCCAATCCTTCTTGAGCTTGGCGCAGTATCTGGTCTACTCAGTCTCTCATTGTGACTAGATCTAAATGGATTGTAGGGAATGGTCTATCTATTAATATCTGGAATGATCAATGGGTTCCTGGTGTTTCTGGTAAGCTGATACGACCTACTCAGTTGGTGCTTCCTGAATTAGTGGTGGAGTTATTTGATTCTCAACGGACTGGTTAGAATGTGAACTTGCTTCAATCTTTATTTCTGCCTCCCATTATCGCCGTTATTCGTACTTGTCCTTTAGTTTCTTTTCTCGAGAAGATAGGTTGGGGTGGGATAGCGAGCCTAATGGTAAGTTTTTGGTGAAGTCAACCTATTAGTTAGCTTCTCGATTGGGGTGGCAGAGTGAGGTCCGATTCTAGGATGCTGCTTCTACTGTATCTCAACAGCACTTTGTTTGGAGTAGTATACGAAAATGCAAAATACCTCCAAAATTATAGCATTTTCTGTTGAAATATTGTAATCTTGCTTTGCCAGTTCGCCAACTTCTTCGGGTTCATGGGATGGTTGTTAATGTTGTGTACCCCAGGTGTGGTATTGAGGAGGAATCACTGGATCATATGATTTTCCTCTTCCCTCATTGTATTCAGATCTAGAAATTGTTGCCCTTCAGGTTTGATTTTTCAGTGGAGCCACCTCCATCGTTTGCGGCTTGGTGGATGACCTTATTAAGGAAGTTGGGGTCGAAGGATAAGGGTCGGGATGTTTTAGGTTTAACGGCCTTTTGTTGTTGGGGTATATGGAAGGCTCGAAATAAATTTGTTTTTGATGGGCAGCTTTTTGATCTACCTAAGGTGGTTTCGTTAGCTTGCTCTTCATTTTGGGAGTTTAAGGAGGCTTTGGGTTACCTAGGTGTCCAGTTGTCTTCTTTTCAGTTCGGGCCTCGGTTAGCTTTGTTTCCCCATCCTTCCCCTTCCTATTGGTTGCCGCCAATAGAGGGTATTGTTAAATGCAATGTGGATGCTTCCTTTTCATCGGTTACCCAGGTTGGGGGTGGAGGTGCTGTGTTTCGGGATTTTAGGGAAACTATTCTGCAGGCAGTGATTTTTTCTCCTTTTCAGGCTTCGACTACTACTTGGCTGAGGCTATGTGTTTGCGTAAAGCGGTTCTTTGGGCTTTAACGTCGTCTTATGTCCACCTTTGTTTTGAAAGCGATTCTTTGTCGGTGGTCTAAGCAGTTAATGGAAATGATTGTGGTCCACTTAAGATTCCGTCCATATCGTTCGATATTCAAGTGGCACTACGACGATTCTCCTTTCCTCGACTTAGCCATGTGCATGCTTTGACATGGTAATGGGGTCGTCCATGCTCTTGCCCAACTTTCATGTCAGCAGAGGATACTGCTTTGGCTTATATTCTTGCTCTGGCATCTGGCAGCCAAAGATTGCATTTTTTTTATTTTTTTATTTTAAAACCCTTGCAAAGAAGCAATAAAAAAAAAAGGAAGAAAGAAAGAAAGATTAACGAAATAAGATCACAAACCACATTGCTATCGAATAAAGGCTGATGATATAAAATACCTACAGTGGGCTCAGATGCCCCCAGTAAATTTTTTATTTACATTTCTTACTTATAATTTGGATTAAATTATAATAATCTCTCAGAAAGTACAATTTACCCTAACTTTATAAGTTTTCTTCTTCTTCACATTAGGAACTTGACTCTTTACCCTTGTTTTTTTTCAGAAATAACATGATTTCATTGAAGAGAATAAACATTCTATCAATAAATTTCGAATATATATATATATATATATATATATATATATAAAACCATTCAGTACAATAGATGAAGAGATGGCACGCCCTCCCTATTACAAACCATAACTTCATAATATTTTATTGATAGTTAAAAAAAGATGAAGAAAGAAAACAGTTCAATAATGCAGGCGATGGCTCGGTACGGCGACGAGTTGAATCGCCCTTGGGGCGGTGAGTCCAAACACATCATTCATGTCAAGCTCACTACGCTTCATACCATCAGGTAACTCCCATGTAAAGCAATGGCAAAGGTGTGCCACTGTGAGCTCCAGTGCATACAGTCCAAGTTTCATGGCCGGACACGACCGACGTCCGGACCCAAACGGTAAGAACTCGAAATCGCTTCCTTTAAAGTCCGGTGCACCGCCATTAAGAAACCTAGATGGCTTGAACGTGTCAGGATCATCCCATGCAGCTTTGTCGCGGCCGATGGCCCATGTATTGATCATGACACGTGACTTGGCCGGGATTTTGTACCCAGCCACGGTGCAGTCCGTGGCGGTCTCGTGGAGGAGTAGCGGAATTGGAGGGTGGAGCCGGAGGGTCTCTTTGACGACACATTTGAGGTACGTGAGGTTCTTGAGGTCGGAGTCGTGGACTCGGCGGTTTAGGCCAACCACATCTGAGAGTTCTTGTTGCACCTTCTTTAGATCCTCCCAGCTCTTCATTAGCTCCGCCATGCACCACTCGATCGCCGATGCCACAGTTTCGGTCCCGCCGAACATCACATCCTGTGATAATGGCATTTACAACATGAATTAATTAGTTCTTTTTGTTCAAAAATATCATATTCATTTACCCAATATATATATATATTGAATAATTGTGACAATAAGATGTTAAGGAGAAAGTAATACCAAAAGTTAGTGAATTTTATTATAACCATGTCTCAAATTAATTATCTTTTAGACACATGCATTCTGAGTGAAGAATCCAAACTTCTAAAAAACAATTATTATTATTTTTACTTGTTTTATAATTAAATATTTAAAACACAAATATATATAGAATTAAAATTGGTTGGGATAATTCAAACATAACATTAAGAGTAATGCTAGTATGAGATCTTTTTCATGAGCTCTCCTTTTTTTTGTCATGATTATATGAATACAACTACTTGAAGGAAGACTAAACAAGAATTATATAGAAAAAATTTCATTTAAAAATTTATTAACAATAGATCACACGGGTTGAACTTTTACATTATTTTTCTTGTCTAAATGTAATTAACTTTGACCAACTCCTCATGTGATTTACTGTAAATAAATTTTTGAAATTTTTTTTAACTATATAATTCCTGCTTAGTCCTCATTCATGTAGTTGTATTCATGCCTTAATATTTGTACATAATGATTAAAAAAAAAAAAAAAGGCGCTCATAAGAAATCTTGTGAGAGGGATCTTAAAAAAAAGAGAGGGCTCGTGAAACTACTCGTAGGGAGAATTCATAGAAGCATTACTCTAATTAATGGAGACAAGTTTTTCTATATTAGGTTAGTGGGTAAGTTTTTGTAATTGATTGAATTAAATGTATTTGTTCTCAAATCACGTGGTGGTAAGTATCATTTACAATAAATATATATATATATATATCACGTGGTATTAATACCAACAATATGGTCAAGAGACCTTCCAAACAAAGTAACAAAAATCACACGCGCACACAGTAAATTATATTTATTTATAGGTATTTAAATTCCAAGAAAAAGTATTTAAATTCGTAGCACGACAAGGACTCTAAAATACAATATTTTATAAATGAGCATCTAAAATAAGACTATTTCGTAAATGACAGCTCATTAATTTGAATGCAAAATAAAAGATTTTGTTAATTTCCTAATGTATTTTTTCTGAAAAAGGAAATCAAGAAAATACTTTTGATAAATAGTGTAGGATGTCAAGGAAAACAACAATTTTTTAATAAATTCAGCTTATTTATTACTTTTTTAATTTTATAATTATAAATAATGTTTGCAAATCACATATCACCTACTTACCATTGAACAGATAAATATATTATTTTCATTAATTAATAAAAAAATTGAACTTATAATATCTATCACTACTTCTCACACAATAAGGTTAACCGGTCTACCAAAAAAACAAGAGAAAGCAACAGTTCAAAATTAACCCAATAATTTAATAACATATACTAAAGAATCTCTCGGCTGTTTTGTCATTGCAGTTTTCGTGAACAAAAATGATACTTAGAACAGAAATGTCCAACAGAATAGTCTACATAATGCATGTGTATCGTGTATCCCTTGGATGCAATGCATTGGGATTCACGTGAGTTCTATAATTCAAAGAATTATATGTATGTTGTTTGAAGGGATTGAGTGATGCTCGGTTTTAAAGAACATAATACAGTGTCATGCCACCAATTGATGGCGCGAAAGCTATCAACAAAAGTCAGATTAAAAAGAAAATAAATAAATAAATAAATTTCTTACCATGATTAGAGCTTTGATGTTGTCCCTGGTGATCTTAGTGGAGGAGGACTGTAAATCGTCTTTGGATTGACTTTCAGAATCATCTTCCTTGTAAAATGCCATTAACTCGTCCACCATATCTGTATCGATTTCAGCATCATCTAAACTGTCGTCATGTTTGCTACTACTATTCTTCTTCGCCATGTGATCATCTATAATCTGATCGATGAATCCATCCAGCGATTCTCGAGCACTGACGAGCCTCTCGTTGAATTCTCGTCCATGAATCCAACCCAACCACGGGATAAAATCCGCGACATTAAAAGCCCCAAAGAGCTTCGAAAACTCCTGTAAAATCTTGGTGAACTCGTTCTGGCCTTCGCGTGACATGGATCCGAACGCAGCCCGACAAGTTATGTTTCGTGTCAAAGCAAGAGCCCACTCGCCCACATTGACCGAGGAACCAACCTTGGCCGATATGGTCCCGATCAACCACTCCACCTCTTCATTTACCGATTGCCACGACTCAGCCCGTTTTGGACTAAACAATTTCACGGCACAGATCTTACGCATCTGGCGCCAGAATGGGCCGTAGTGGGCGAACGCCATGTCCGCTCGGTCGTAGGTCAAAAAGGTTATGGCAATGGTCGCAGGGCGGTTGGAGAAGGCGTTGTCTTGGACTTGGAGGACTTCTCGAGCCATGTCCGGGGTGGACACGGCCACCATGTGTATCCTGCCCATTTTGAGGTGGAGCAGACCGCCGAATTTATTGGCCAGCCGGGCTAGTCCGTGGTGAGTTAACTGGTCCATCATCAGCATGTTTCCGATCACCGGTAAGCCTTTCGGGCCCGGTGGGTATGGACCTCTTCGTAGTAAATGAGTGAAGAAAGTCATAGCAAGGAAGGTCAGAGCAACCATGAAGCATATAGGTAAAGGTTGCAGAGCTTCAAGGGAAAAGAAGTCCATGACTAGATAGGTGTGTAAAAAACTCAAATGTGGTGGTTTTGAGTTTAATGTAAAATGAATGTTCTCTCTCTCCCTCTACATATATATATATATATATATATATATATATATATATATAAAGTGTGTTGATTAATTTTCTTATTCCACATAGAACAAGGAGATCAGGACTCGTGGGTCTCTTGTTCTATGTGGAATAAGAAAATTAATTCACTCTTTTTATATAGAATATTAGATTAAATTTAATGGTTATTTTTTAAACCCATCTATATCTTTTTCTTTTAGCCCAAAATCACTCTCACCCTATTTTTAATTTTCATATTTAATTTTACTCTAGTAATAAAAGGTAATTACCAAAATAAAAATTAAAAAATCTTTACTATTGCATTATCCAATTTTATATCTTTGAACACAAATGCCAACAAATTCAACAAGAGAATTTTTGCCAAAGATAACTCCTCATAATCGAAAAACAAATTTTAGTAATATATACTGATATTATCTTTCTTTCAAAGATTCCTATTTATATTTTGGTAATTACCTTTTATGGCTATATAGGTGATAATTGTAAAATTAAATAATCGAGATAGGTTTTTTATTTTTTATTTTTTAATTTTTTTTTTGTGGATAAGATTAGGAGTGCTGACCAACTAAAGGTAACCTTTTTGGGACTTATTTTTATTGTTTTACTTTAATGTAATTTAATTTTAAGATTCTTTATTTCACATGACCCACATTCTTTTACAGGCCGGTGTCATTGAAAGATTTTATTCGCCATATGACAAGTGATTTGCTGCTCGATTCGGAGAGATGAGAGATAGAGGGCTTGTGGCGCTCTTCTTTGGGGACTTATCACTCCAACTCATCCAATAAATCATTTAATTTGCCAGTAAAGATGTCATAACTCAAAAGTAATGTAAGGTATACACGGTTCAATATGTCACAAGTAAGGTGCAATCTGTTTCGTTCGGTTTGGTGGGTTGTTGGCCTATTTTAATTATTTATTATTTTGAAGTCTCATACTAGAGACCTACTTTAATGTATTTGAAGGTTATAAATGATTCAATCTTTCTCTTTTCTCTCTTTTTTTTTTTTTTTTTTTTTGATTGACAAGAATATTAGAGTAAAAATTAGAGGTGTAAAGGCTTGAAGTCGACTTTCTATTGACAATAAAAAACAATCCAACCATTGGATTACGAGGGCATTCACATAAATGTTTCAATCACAATATTGGGCCTATGTGTTCATTTCAAAAATCATTTTCCTATTCAATAAAATTGGGATAAAGGGTAAAATATAAAATAAAAAAACTCTTCAACTGTTGTTCTTTTGCAAATAATCCGTGAAGTACAAATTGTCCCCTAAACTAATGATTTGTTGCAACTAAAGACAAACTTATTTTACTCATTCTTATTAAATAATCTTAATTAATTTTTCTCTTATCTAAATATTAATTATAACATTTACCTTAATTTTTTATTACTATCAAATTCATCATAAGAATGGAAAAAATAAATAAGTAGAGTTGTAACTACTATTTTCTAGAATGATTAACTTATTATTAAATCTTTACTATTGATAAAAAAAATTATTATATTCAGTTTAAATTTTTTTTATCGCAAAAAATATATTCATTTTCATACAATATATTCAAGAAAAATTAATAAATTACTTTAAAATAATACCTTCTTTTTCATGTACTATATGCATGTAAAATTATAAAATTACTTGAATTTTTTTTAAAAAAAATTTCTACTAAAGATATTTTTTTAAAAATAATTAAATTTAAGAATTAAAGGTAAATTTATGCAAATTTAATGAATAATATGTCATCAAAATACTGTGAATTTTGTTCTGTAATATATTTTTAAAAAAAGAATATTTGATTAAGTGTATTTCAATAAATAAAAAAAGGGCATGAGGGCAATTTATTCATTTAATAAAAAATAAACCAGACATAAGGACATTTTGTAACAAAATATGATAGTTAAGGGGGTATTGTGTACAACATATAGTTTAAGGGGGTTATTTGCATATTTGAACATACTTTAAGATTTTTTTGCACTTTACCCAATATAAATGTCATAAGTAAGGGGGCTCACAGTTTGATTAGATTTGATTTGATCCGATCCAATTTAAGGATAAATCGAAACTAACTCAATTTCAATAATTTACAAAAATTAGAACTGAAAATAGAAGGTCCCATTCTGAACTACGGTTATGAACATTATTAATATGAACGGGAGATACACCATGTGTATATATGTATTCTTTTGTTTTGTTTTTTGTTTATTTATTTATTTATTAAACGTATATATATTCTAGGTCTCATTTTGAACCATGGTTATTACTAGTATTAGCCCCCTAAATATTAGTCTACCCAAACAAATCAGTTAAATTTATATTTAATATTAACTGACAATTTCTGAATTCCCTTATGTATGTTTTTTTCTAGGACGTAAAGATATCTAGAAGAAAATATGGTTCAAATTTATTTTCTCATTCAATCGCCCAGTCAAAGGAAATCAAAATGGGCACCAAATCCAAAAAGAAAAACGAAACATGTAGCAAAATAACAAACCAAGTTGTAACCACCAACTTATGCAACCGAAGCTAAAATATTGCACGCTTCCAAATATTGATGTAGAATTATAATCACTTAGAAACATTTTGACAGGTCAAGCATAGAAGGAACTGTTGGGATTTATATGCCCTGGCATAGCAAATTCCTATCTGGATTGTATTGACATATGTTCCTGACATATCTGAAATATTTATGATTTATATAATTGGTGAATTCAATGTATTATGTTTCAATTCACTATGAAATTGATAGTGTCCAGTTAATTACAAGAAATATTTATATATATGTATGTGATGACAATCAATGCATGATATATAAATAGTAATTATAAATTGTTCATAGTCGGTAATTATGGATGGACTCATAATTAATTAAGACTTGAACTGGATCCGCGTTAAGTTGAGATATATTACGAGAGCCGTCGTATGCAATTACTCCCTATCACCGTCATGGCATTTGACTCTTAAGCATGAGAAAAGTATAGACTCTTTTATTAATTAATAATTACTTTGATTTGTTCGGCGGATTCTTCGGGATCCTTAGACCGACACTTTGGGTAGTTATGTAATTAATAGTTAGAGGGTTATATTTTCAATATATGCATCATTGCTACTTGTATTTATTTTGTATTGATTATGGTTGATCACAAAGTAAATTCGAAGGCCTTCGTGTGTTTTTAGACAAAATGATTTATTATATATTTATTTATTTAAATTATTATTTTTGTCAAACAAATGTTTTATTGTGATCGAGCCAGAAATAATCAAAGGTACCAAAATAAATATATTAATTAAGTAGTCGGATTGATGGCTATATTTATCCGATAACTAATTATGCATAGAGGGGTCAAAGTGTAATATTGACTTAGAGGTTATTTATTATTTAATTGGAGTTCAATTAATTTCTTTTAGTGGAGTAGAAATTAATTTATGAATTAATTGAATTGGGTCCATGGACCGGGCCAATTATTAATTCATTGTAGCCAATAAAATAATAGGCCCAATGGATTCTCACTCATAACCCAACTTGATATTGGAATCTTATTAGATTTGAGACATATGAATTAGAGATGGAGAAGGATTTGTTGTTTCCTTTTCTTTATTTTTATGTTGCCTATAAATATACATGGTCTATGTATATTTTAGGGGATGATTTTTATGAGAAGGAAAAAGGAATAAATTTTCTCTCTCTAGAAAATTAGGGTTTATGTTCTCATCTAATGGAGGCTCCCACAAGCCTAGTTTTCCAAGGTCATTCAAGGAGGCTTATGAGTGATTCCTAAAGGCAAGACCATTACCAAGAAGATGGAGATCCATGGAAAAGATGTCTAGCAAAAGGGATCTACAATAAGTGAGAACATTCACTTTAGAGGAGAGATCTGAGGTTTACTCAAACCTTGATGTAAGTATTCAATCTTTTAGTTGAATAATACATCATATTTTATTTTATTTTTTGCATAAAACTTGTCTCTATGTGATGAATCAAGATCTATGAATTTAAATCCCTCGAAAAGTTTTTAAAACTAGCACGTTTCCCAACAGGAACAACAGTGGGGATGAGTTGGGAGTGAACAATATTTTGACTAGACAAACACAAAAGAAACAATGGTGGGGGAAGGTGGGAGTAAACGAGGCTGAGTTGCATATATTTATTTTTTTTACCTGGCAAACAAACTGCCAACTTTTCATTACAAGAACAACCAACAACAAAAACAAGGATACATCATGAACCTTTCAGACCCACATAACATCCAAAAACAAAAGAGGCTGAGGTACATGGGACCAGAATTACCTCCAGTTGCATAGTATAACTATTTACTCCATTTGAAATAAATGGCTGAGAATGTGCCATATCAATTAAAAAAATTAGGTAACTAATTTTTTACTACTCCTTTAAATATTTCATATATATATACACTTTAAATATTATTTCTAAAATACGTTATGCATGGCTGTCTCCCTTTCTCTCTCTAAAAGTTATGAACGGCTGTCTTCCTCTCTCTCTCTAAAAGGGAAGAAGGAAATAGTACCAATGGCGGTCTGAGGTGAAGAAGAATAAGTGAAGAACGGTGGTAAGGCGAAGAAGAAGAAGTGAAGATCGAAGGTCTGAGGCGAAGAAGAAGAAGTGAAGAAGGAAGGTCTGAGGCAAAGAAAAAGGGAAGAAGGAAGGTCTGAGGGTTAGGGTTTGAATTTCTAATAAACGAAGATGAAGAAGAAGGGAAGGAAAAATGAAGAAGAAGGGAAGAAGGTTTGAGGTTAGGTTGGAAAAGTTGGGATAAGTTGAAATGCACCTTAGGAAAATGTTGGGATTCACAGTAGGAAAATGTTGGGATGCACTAGAACGGAGGTGAGGGGAAGAAGAAGAAGTGAAG